ATGTAACTGCATAAATGAATCGCGTTTTATCTGATAAGAACCAGTTATAAATATATAAATAGTAGGCAGTCGCATAAGCGAACACACAGTCTTACGAACATTGATCTAATCAGATGTATAGATATTATGAACACTGGGCTAATTTTTTTCGAGTTATGAAATCTACCGAAATTTGGAATTAACCAGGTTTTACTTTATCAAAATATAGCAAGAATTCGCCAAGAAAATCACAAAACTAGCATCGCGTTAGAAACGCAGTAGCGGATTTTTATAACTGTGAGAGGTGCGGAATCGTTCTTCTTATGGCCAATTGAGTCGTAGAGCCCTCGGCCTGTTCGTTGTGCGTCCTTGTTGTAAAGCGACTGTTTAAATTTGACATGACGGCGTTCCATTTCAGCCTTGAGCGTGTCGTGTCGCAACGGAAACAGGGACGTGGTGTCCTTTTTGCTCGATTCCGGCGCATCAGTTGCCTATGGCAAATCGTCTAAACCGACGCCCCCGTTGATCACCGTATGTTTTATCGCTAATTGCTCCATAATTTACGTAGGATATGTTAAAATAAGAGTGTTATTATTTTAGGCGGTCGAAAGCGGTTACTGGGAAATTGTGTCAAGTATTTTGGCACGAGGTTTGAACGTCAACAACGAACAGAACGAAAAGCTGCAGACAGCCGTCATCGTTGCTGCAAAGAGCGGTCATATCGGTGTTCTGGAACTTTTGCTTAGCAGAGGTATGTGTTGATCGATCGCTCAGTTGTCGGCACCTCTTCTTGGTGTAATGTGTCAAGGTTATGTAGGTTAATCGTCTTGAATGAACGAAGTATTAGCTAGAACTTAACACTGTAAAACTGAGAGTAACCGTGTCTACAAACGAAACACTTGGATTACATATGACTAAGAGTGACGGAATTGTCTGTGATATACATTTGAGGATAATTTCGAATAATTTCGACTTTCAAACGGGCAACTGTGATGTCCCTTTTGGAAATTGTGTAAAAAGGGTCTTAAAAAATGAAAGATGTGAGTATCCCAAAATATGATTGAAAACACGACAGTTACTGCCGTAAAGCATAACGTTTTCTCGCCTTGATAGAGTAAGTAGAAACAGGTGAATATCTGCAGTACTTCTGACGAAAAGTTCACATTGTCCCTATAAAGTACCAGCGAGGTCCAGGTGTTCAGTGCTGCTATTATTCGTAGAGTTTTTATACTCTTTCACCCCTGCAAGCAAGTAACTTCAGGCACAGAAGTACGTCTTCGGAAAAGATTTCAGAGAATCTAGTAACTAAGTTTAAATTAAGGTTGAGGAAGGTTTTGTTATAGCTGAATGCATTCGACCATTTTTTGTTTAACACAGATATTATTTGTTATATTATTTGTTTATTAAGTCAGTTTGAACAATGATCTTCGTGTTTCTTACATAACTGGTCCTCATATTTAATTTTATTGTGTGTTGCTGACGTTTGCTGTAATTGACTCACTGTCAAGACATAATGATCATAACAAACTTTCACATTTGACCATATCGTTGTGAATGGTCGGTAAACAGTCACAATTTTCCTCGTTAATGCATGAATCACTTCGGTCGGCCGGTAATCGGCGACGAATTGCGCCAACCGCGTCGCCCTCAGTTCCTCACAGTTTTGAGCCTTCTCCTTCCCAGCCCGACTAGCACCGGCTCTTAATATAATCTTCATGCCGTCTTGCTGGGCGATCAAACGGCCTGTCCCGCTTGCGAGAGTACTAATCGATTATCATCGCCGACCATCTATCGTCTGTGAAGCAAAGCTACTTGCTACTTCCCCTTTCTGCTTTCGACGACGCTGTCCTTCACTCACGTTCACTGTCTGGTCACCCTGTTGGAGATGTGATAATGAGTCAGATTCTCAACATTCTTATTTTCATAGCTCTGTCAGTGATAGATAGCTGGCGATCTTCGGCTTTCTTGTGATTACGTCTCACACAAAATATCGTCAGCAGGACAGTGGAATTGAAGAGGTTAAAGAGTATAGCTTTCCTGATGTTGCTGAGGAG